CAGCACTGTTTGTCTCACCACGGTTTAACTTAAAGAAGAGTGCAATTTGATGGCAGGTAGTACGAGCAGTCTTTTGGTATAATGTAGTTCGGCCTATGGCTGCTCCAAAACCGTGTTGCACCGCTTCCTTGATCCCCTGAATATAAAGGTCATCTAAGCGTTCTACTGACCCACAGTTTTGAACATGCACGATTAGAGACATCTCGCCTCATTTTGCACGCCATTGCAATACCTCTCGCGTTGCCAATAACATTTCAGCAGCCCGTACGCCTTATGTGCATTTACAGCATCAGAAATGATTAACTGACTCCCTCGTCATGTGAAAGCAAAAGTACGCTGCGGTTCGCCTTATGGCTGATATGTCCTTATTAACTTGTTCTGAAATGTGATCTTTGTTTACTGCCATCTTGACTGTTACTGTTTGAGCATACGGCAGCGTCTCCTAATAGACGTTCCTCCAGGACAGCACCACTCAGAAACCTGGTCTGGTCTGTGGCATAAGTCGTAGTCGTTCAGTTAAGAGCCGGAGAATAGTTCACGGAAATGTGTTCGATTGACAGTGACATAAACGAATGTCATCCCCTATTCGTAGGAATGATGACTTTCCTTAAGCAATTACTACGCCACTATGTTTTTGTGAGAACGCGTAAGAGGCAAGAGCTTCTATAGCAGTTGCAGGCTGTCTCAGTTTATTTTCTCAGATGTTTTGTTAAGAAGCCGTGTGTAAGAGACGGAGACAGTATTGTAGCTTACGAAGTGGGTTACATTCAGCTTCAGCTAATTACTCTTTCAATTTGCATGTATCACCATACTGCGTTTTTGTTTTTTGTCCTGCACTTGTGCCACTTGCTATAGAACGTAAGTACCGTCCAAGAGGCCCTGTCGCGCTATACGAAGCCAGAGTTCCTTCGAAACAGCGATGCATACACTTGCAGCAGGTAATACTTTTTGGCGCACTAAGTCGTTTCGAACGTCGGCACGTCGTTGACTGATTTTAGGTGTGAAGAACGCTCGCCGGCAATGAAAACTTTCACCATTCATAAGGCGCCCTCTGTACTGACACTGCATTTGAAACGGTTCAATCACACTGGTAAAATAGATCGACGGATTTTCTACCCCGAGAAGCTTGATCTACGCCCGTTCATGAGCGAGAGTAACGTAAGGGGCCGTCTGTTCGAAGCGGCACCCTGTTAAAGTGTCCAGCTATAACTGCGCGTACGTGAATACGTTCTGATCTTTAAAATACATCAGTACACAGGCGAGTCTGTTTCGCTGTACACGGCTACAATTATGGGTACGTGCTGCAATTAATCTGCATACCGATCGTTATATGTAATGCAGTTCTGTTCAAAATTTAACGCTGTATGAGTATAGGTTTAGGCTTAGGCTTCTACATGGCACATAGAATGAAGTTTTCAAGGCAGTTGCATTATGTATAATTATATGTGCATGCAAATTAAGTTGCACGTACCCATAATTGTATTTGTATACATTGAAAGTAGCTTTGTTTATGTAATTATTTATTTCCAAGGATTACAAACGCATTTCGTACGTGCATTTGTAGCTGCGCGCTTTTGACAGGTCTCCCTGCTGCAGCGGACTTGTCGATTAGTGCGTACGGGGTTAACGTAACGTTGTTTTGTTTTCAGGGCCCGCCAGCGCTGTACGAGTTGTACGCAGTATTGGTTCATCAAGGCCAGACGCCGCAATTTGGTCATTATTTCGTGTACGTGAAAAACGCGTACGAGCAGTGGCACCGCTTAGATGACGAGCACGTAAGGTTTTGACCACGGAAACAGCGACTTGGCGGTCGTTGTTCACGGTTGTTTGTTTAAGTCTCTATCACTACATGGTTCAACATGAGCCTACTTTGTATAATTGACATTTTAGCAGAATACCAGATGTTTCGGATTCGTGTAATAAATGCGAGGGGCTACGCTGTTCGTTTCGTTTCTTCTCAATAACAGTAGATGGTGCAGGGTCGCGTCTCAGCTTATGTGTTCTCTCTCTACCATTTAATGCCGGATGCGCCAGTCGTTGCGGTTATAACGCAGATGTGGTGGACGACACAGAGGTCTTCGCTCCCATCCATGACTTCGCCTAATTGCTGAATTGCTTTGCCAACGCATTATGTCGAAATGGCTGCTGTGAAACGCTTCGGCTTTAAACAAAGAGAAATGCCTAGAATCATTAAAATTAATAAAACTATTTTCCGGCATCTGTTCCGAATACGATAATGCAAGGCTAACTCTCTCCTGTCACTTCTCCGGATCCGGACCAAAACAGGTTTTATCGCGAATCATAATCGTTATGGGCTGTTTTCAAAATGTTACGGCCAACCGTTGGGATCGTTATGAATGACGTTGAATTTTCTGCATTAGTAAACAACTACTGAATTTTAACCATCCTGTTCTTCATGTGCTCGTCAGTACATTTACGATGTCTTTTTGTCCTTCTTTGAACTGGACTTGCTCATATTTTTTGGGCAAATTCATATGAAGACCAGAGGTTTGAGTCCTCCGTCGATAAAAAGAAAAACAGTACCATACCCTTTTTGAAATTCTCGCAAAAAAGATTTGAAGAATGGCACAAAAAACGGCTTAATTATCCAAACGTCTTATAGTGATCTGTTAGCGACAGACCGATACCGACGCTACGACCCGAATCTCATGATCCTTTTTCAAAATACAAGTTGCGGAGGATTCGAATGTCATATACATTGTCTGCTGCAGCAAGTTCTTTTTTCGTCAAAAAACAGGTCATCGATCTGCACTGCAGCAGTCGCTGTTTCTTTAACGATTAACTATGCGAATAGAATCTGTTATGACCCTGTACTATTGGAGAAATATGTACTGACGTAAATTATTGCATTCATATTCAAGAGAACATTTTAGGTGTGTGCCTTTAAGAAATCTGACGTACTTTGTGCTCAGGCCTACTTGCTGTTTTACCTTCGAACTACAACGGATAAACGGAAGTCGATCATCAACAAGGTTCGTGAAATTTTTTAAGTTTTATGCGAACGTAAGTAAACAAGTAGGTTTTTGGGCCGTTAACGAGCCGAACCTGCTGTACTTTTATCGTTGCAAAGAGAGCGTCGCAGGTTGAAAGGCCTAAGTGTCTGGCTATGACCTTTAATACAACCTGTGTCGCTCGTGCAGTTCACTGTGTAAGTGTGTAGAGTGTGCTCATAAAAAACAGATATCGGCACACAGTGAAGAAACCCTTCTCCTATACTTTCTGGCCCTGAGTCAGTCTCAGAGATCCAGACATTACAGTGTCATCAACGTACTTCATACATTTCAGCGAAACACGAGCAACGCCATAATTGGTACATATATTGAGTAATAATGATGAAGGAACATAGTTTCGCACTAGTCTGTGATTGCTCGACAACTAGCTATATTTCTTTCCATTCGTTTTGAGGAATTGATGACGGTGCACATCTTTACAGGGTTGTTTCGGGTTCAGCAAAAGTCTACGATATCTGAATTTGCGCTTAACTTCTTCCACTAAGTCCACTAGTGACTCACCTGGGAACATTTTACGGAGAAACATTTTCTCATTGTTGTTAAATAAGAGCAATTAACCTCGTCTCATTTGTTCGAGATGTTGCTGCCAGCCTGGGACAAAGGACAGCACAAGGGTTGCTAAGCTCGAAGAGCACCGGCTCGCTCTCAGAAGTTTCGAGTTCAGCCCCCAGCAGGTCACGCGCCCTTCATCCTTCTGAGGTAGATGAAGAGGTACCGCTTTGTATAAAGGTGGCATATGCCTGGACGGTATATTGTTATATAACTTTAGACATTGCCTTTAAAATGAGGCATTTCTGGTTGCCGAAATGTTGATTACTGCCATTATAAGCCTATCGTGGAAATGTAAGAAATTCCGATATCCCATCGGTTATAAATTTCGTGTTCCTTTCCTCCAGTGGTTGGAGTCATAAAATGACTCGAGACACTTCATTTAATGACAGCCAGGCGTTTCTGTCGGACAACAGCGGCACTGTTTGTCAGTACGCTCAAATGAGCTTAGCCAGAAAACAGTATTGCCGTGAAAACTCTCTTGGTCGTCAACGGTTGTGCCGTTTTCCAAACTAGTAAAAATTGATTGATTGTTTTGGTATTGATCGGTATTGAGCGATAATAATGCTTGAAGTTTATAGCTGCACATCATTGCAATTGCAACATGTTCTGTACTGCAGTCGTTATACTTTTTATAAAATACTTCCACTGGCTGCTTATCGCCAGCGATATTGCTTTACAACATGAAACATGTATTCAAATCCCCATCCGCTCCTTCAGTTTTAACCATCAGCCAGTAAATTATCGTCAAAAGATGATTGCACCCTCATTGACACGGTACTTCTTGGTAGCATAACGAGGTGCTGAAGCTGATTACAACGATAGCGATCATGTGGAGTGCCAATCGAAAACCTAGAATAATTTCACAGCTTAAAAACTTTTATGTTCCTTTCTGTTATTGCCGGAAATAAATCCATCATTTTACGTAGAATGCTCCTTGATGCCTTCGTCTTGTCCAAACAGTCATACTAGTCTGTCGGCCAAAGTAGTAGAAAAAATTCATTTAGCGGACTGAAAGAAGATATGAAAACATCCCTATCTGTTTTCCTACTTTGGTTACCTCATAAAATGACCGTTTTGTCTTTGTCATTCCCTAGTGTATTACCGTCGTTGTCGGTTAGCCTGTTCTTTGCACGTCTCGCTTTATTCGATTTCCGAGGCATGCTTGTTTCCCATACACATCGAGTATTCGTTTCACCCGTGTGCCTGATTCAGCAGAAAAACGATGTGTTGCGCTGCAGTTGCAACGTTTCTGAATAACTGATTTACTTTCGTCTTAGAGCTGCGTGTTTACATTTGGCATTTTTTTTTTGCTTTATGCAGTTTAGGTTTGTCAACTGTACTTGTTTCAGGAATTGCACCCTAAAGTGAACATCCCAGCTCCGCAAAAAGCACTACTTCATTCAAGTATGTTATCTATTTATTATTTTGTTCATTTTCATGCTTTGCTATTTCTTTTTGGGTGAAATAAGTAGCGGATATTTTGCAAAGCTCCCGGTTCTCCTCCATTCATGGAAATTTCAAGGGATGCATTACAAGGCAAGAGAGTGCCAGCTGTTATGTCTGCGTTTAGTACAGTATCTTGAAGCCTGTGCAGTCGTTTGATTGTGAGCGCCTCAAAAATCAGATGGGTTGAGAGAGTGTACTGCATAAGTTAGTGGAAATGATATGTAAAACTAGCATCGACTAATGTTTCAGCAATAATCAATCACACAGATATTTTAGTGTTTATGCTGTAGTGTATACAGTATACCAACTACTGTAACATCGTTAAAGTTGAACATGACGTTGCTGTTGCAAACAAAATGATACTAGATGCACCTAGCAGATGCTGAGGTACTTCCAATTCTGGCCTGCTTAAATGCCCTCCTGATAAGCAACTAGCATCAAGGACGGGGCAGTACGCCGTGAAATCTAGTTCTGTAGAAGTTATGTGTCAATTAAGCTACTCTTTCTTGCGAACCGCTATGTTTCTGCACGTCTCATGTCAGTCATGGAGGCGGCACTGCCACAAAAGCGTGCCGGACTTTGTCATAGAATTGTCAGCTTTGATGAAATCACATCTACTTTTTATATCAAACAATTCTTCCAAATAAGCAAAACCTTATGCGATACTCATTTATCTCATGTTGCCTTCGACACTACTGGCCTACTGCTGACATCAGGAAAGATGCTGTGGACCATAGCATGGGATCATATTCCTACCAAACGAGTATTCAAGTACGCCTACGGTACCAGATCAATTTAGCCAAGAATTTAAGGGTTGACTGTCGCACCCTGGCGCCTTCGTTGTCAATATCTGCCGCAGACAATTCGCCTACCCAAATGACTGTCTCCGGCTTTTCAAAGTCTCACTCGATTGCATTGGCCTCATTCTCATTTCCGACCTTGAGACAGTGGATTTTTACTTACAATCAACCTGGTAAAATGACTTTCACTCCTTTCAACAGATCCCTGACAGAAACGACACTCCTGCTCACCTTCTCCGTGACCTACTGAAAAATGAGGTCTGCCAAGTACTGACGCTGGATCGTTCACCTCACGTACTGGGAACACATGTAGAAGACTCATGCCAAAATCAAGGTCCACAAACCTTCATCTTCATCTTCCATGGCCGCTTCTGTTTTTGGGACGCGGAGCCAGACGAGTCAGAGAGTGCTTCCAGCGTTCCCGATCCTGTGCCAGAGTCTCAGATTCGGTAGAAGATAACTGGAGTCTGGAGCGGACTCCTTCCATATATGTGCACCACGTTAATCTTGGCCGTCCCCTCGGCCTTCTGCCGGGCAGTTTTACAAGAAACAGTTGTCTAGCCTTCCTTTCTGAAGGCATTCGCAACACATGCCCAAGCCATCGCAGCTGTGACTTCTCAATCTGGAGAAGCAGAAGCTACACGCTGAATCTACCTGGATGTCAGTATTCCGGGCGATATCGAGACGCGTCTGGACAGCGACTCGTCTAAGAAAGCCCATTTCAGCAGCTTGTACCCCGGTTCGAACTTTTACAGTGATGGTCCACCACTCATCAACGTATGTAAGCGTGAGGATAAGGATCCACTTGAACACCGAGAACTTGGTTTTCAGATTGTGCTCTGCTTTAGTCACGGTGAATTGGGCTAGTTTACCCAGAATGCCACTGGCTACTCCACTTTGCCGGCCGATTTCTTCCTCCAATTTTCCATTACAAGTGAATACGTCTGCGAGGTACTT